TTTTTTTTTTTTTTTTTTTTTGCTTTATTGATTTTGAAATCTCTGAGGAGGGTATAAAAGTCACAGAAGAAATAAAAACTGTATGATAACTTAGCAAATCAATGTATCCCTGTGAAATAACACTAATCTCTACAGGTTGCTAATATTTTTTTCAAATATTTAACTTTAAACTTTATTGTACTCTTGCGGTTTAATTAAGCTATTAATTAAAATATTAATTATTTCAGCTCTTGTTGCAACTGTAACTGCAGTAGTATGTGAGACTTATCTTGGCAATAATATTACAGTTAGAAGAAACTCGACAAACTCATTTTTAGTTGCGACAAATCAAACATCTTTACAATTTTAGCTTTTGTTAAAGTTCAAACTTATATTCAGTAAAGAAAAGTGCAAGTTATGTTTTAAAAAAAAAAGCTTACATTAAATGGTAGTGTTAATGTAGTGATCAGGAAGTTTCTTGTAGTTGGACCGTGTATCAACGGAAAATGTGTAGAAGAAACAGGAACAAAATGCCTCAATAATCAGTGTGTTCTGGATTCTGTTGGTCAGAAAACTATTTATATTCCAAGCAAATCGTTTTTAAAACTTTTGAATACTGTTTAAAAACCAGTTTTTACTATCCTAATCAAAAATATTGCTAGTAACGTCTATTTTTTTTCCATTAGTAAGCGCCTGCGTCAATGGTAGATGTCCAACCGGTTACCAATGCGCCTTAAGTTCACAGTTGTGTGTAGCTTCAAGTGGGTTAATTATGTCTCTTTCATTTCAGCTTAAGTATCCAAAAAAAGTATTATTTTACCGCAAGAAAATTGTCTATTGTATACATTTAGGAAGATATTGTACGTATACATCAGAAAAAAAATAAGACAATTATAAAACTAAATTTTTCAGTTGGACCGTGCGTTAATAGAGGATGTCCCACCCCCTACTACTGTGATGTTAAAGAAGATGTTTGTCTTAATGGAGGTAAGCCACTATCACAGTATCATTATTATTGATTTTTTGAATATTAGTAGTTATTAAAAAACAAAAAAATAATATTTTGATTGGGT